TTTACAGTTCGGGATCCTTGCGACGGAGTTCTTCGAGCATATACTTGTAAGGGGTGCCGAAATCGTAGACGTTAGGTTCCCTGAGGGAAGGTCCAGGAAGCTTAACGTGCTGCCCGGTGCCGTAGGATGCCACGTGGAGGCCTTCTCTCTTCAGAAGCGCGTGGGCCTCCATGCTCCGGTTCTGGTTCGATGAGCACACCATCGCGTACCGGAGTTTCATCTCGTCCGGCGACGATAATTATCGCTGGGTTATTTTATTTTGTTTTTCTGTTCACTATACACGGACTCTCTTTCTCTCTCTTCGGCACACACACACTGAGGTATCTATGTGTTGTACGATTCCAATAATTTTCTTCTACTTTACCTCCATTCAACTTTAATTATTTTATTTTAAACTTAAATATTCACTAACAACTAATTATACCATCTTTTTTCAAAATTAACTCTAGTTAAAAAACAAAATAAAAAAAATTAAAAACTAGTTGAATCCATATTCAATCATCCTCTAAAATATTTCGCCTAAAAATTTTAAAATATTTTTTTTTTATTTTTTTAATTTCACTTCTAGAAATTAATTAATCAATTATGGTATAAATTTTAAAAAAATTAATAAATTTGGTTTTGGTATAAAGTGAACGATTTTATTTTAGGTATTTCATGGTCATTTTTTTTTGTAAAAAATGTGTTGTTATTAATAAATGTCCAATTTCACCGAATAAATTTGGTGATTTTATTTTGGTATAAAATATTCCAATTTAAGTGTTGTGAGTTTTATTTGGTATGGATAAAAGTGTATTCGGAAACTTTGAAAACAAAACAAGTGGTATGAATTTTATTTCGTATGAGTATGAAAGTCGAATTTTAGATTGATTTGTTATAAAATGAAAGTGATATGATTCTCAATTTTAGCATATTCCCATAATAACTTGTCATAACATATTATTGAAAATTCGACAAATTGATATATATTCATCTTGAAAATCAAAAAGATCATCGAACAAATATTGGTTAATAAAATTCTAAATTTGTAATTTAGTTCTAGAGAATTAGTTGATAAATTTTAATGATAAAGTAACCGAC